CCAGCTTTCTGAAATTTTCTTTGTCTTTCTTTAAGACAGCGCATGCTTTATGTAAATTGTGAGTGAGGTCAGATTTCATAGATTAGAAATGCCTGCGAAATGAAAAGTCAGAATTTGCTTTAGAAGCGTTAGGGCGAGAAATGAAATTTCCTCTAAACATGCTACAAAATTTAATAAATAACGACATTTATTTTCACTGTCGGTACGGTCATATGTTTTCTGCCGAGTTTCAAAGTTGTTACTTCTCTCAATATAAAATTTGCGGGGCTTGGAGTTTAGTTTTTGACATATATTCTTGCACCTGATTGTGAAAACTTTTAAAAAATTTTAACCTTGCCGATTTGTTTGCTGATCTACTGAAAAATTGCCGGTGTTCCTATTTCCGAGAACAGACCCCGCGGCAGCTATAATGTAAGATTTCTGAGACGGCTTTACCAAATTTGATTCCGTCTGGAGGAATGAGCTTTGAGCTAACTTTACAGATTTCATGTTAGTTTATCCACATTCCAGGGGTTATCCACATTAAGCTCTTTCCCACGCTACTGTCTTCTACTCAAGATCATTGTCGACGCGCAGCAGACAAGCCCGTGCGATCATGCGTTTTTGCAGCACTTCGTGCCGTAGTAAGATCGCCTGGAACTCAGTAGCTAGAATTTGTGAAATATTGGCTCTCGAACTTCAAGAAGTTAATTGTGCAATTACATGGTGCTTGGTTAGGAAACATCCTGTTAAAATTTCAGCTTTCCAACTTTTCTGGTTCCTGGGTTAGCAATTTTCCAGCCAAAAATTCTCACGGGCCACAAGTGAGAACCACGTACAACTGGAGGCTGAATTTGAAACGTTTAAATTTGTGCTTAGGACATCTCTCTAAAATTTCAGCCGCCCAGTTTTCCTGTATTCCGAGTTAGCGGCTTTCCCGCCAAAATTTCTACGTGGTCGTGCGCGAAGCTCAGACCTGCCTCACGGTTGGTACCGCGGTCCTGGGATGGCACTTGGCTGGGAAATCCGCTGGCAAAATTCTGGCGCCGGAGCTTGCCTGATTGCGGAGTTAAAATACCCGGACAGGCACATACACACACACACATACACGCACACTATGGGTCGTCACAGTATACGTTTTCGCATTTGCAAATATGCAAAAACACATAAAAAGCAAGTTAAGAACGGGACAAAAAACGGGACAAACCTCTCCAAATTCATCTTTGATCATTGGATGTTTGCCCTCAATGATAAGCATTCCCTCGTTCACCGATACCTTCAAATCTTCGGGCGCAAACTGCGATACATCAATTGTCACTGAGAAGTGCTCATCATTATCAGTCACCTGAAAAAATATTCCTTTTAACAACTAATAATCCTTTTTTGGCTGCACACAACTGGACGCTTCAACAATTTTTACTGGCACTGCGTTTGCGCTCTAGTCTAAGCGTTGGGGATCAAATAGATTTGATTTCAAAAAGACTCATTTTTTATTCGAAACGAACCTGCTTAAAACTGGAGCCGAATTTGTGCTAGTCAGTTGGAAATGCAATTGGGAAACCTCGTGCCTTTTCGGCAAAATTCAAATTGAAGCGTGATGCGCGCCGGAAATTATAACGAACTTCTGTCACAACTCGATGCAAGTGTGAAAAGCGGCTTAGGTACTATGGATTGGCTCCATGAAGCTCTGTACTTCGGAGCCTGACATTTTTGGGAACTCCCATACAGTTAACTTTTTGCGCATGTTCTTTTTCTGGTTGAAACAAACCTGTCCAATACCGGAACCGAGCTTATGTGAATTTTCGAACGAACAGTCCACCCAATATGGACGTTGAAATGTTCGATCCAAGTCAAAGTCTCGAAAATCATCGAAAAAACGGTTAAAACGTGGCGTGAATGGTGACAGCAACGGGCGGCGAGCCATTTTGTTTGTTCACTTGATCTTAAAACTGAAACCTGTCTGTCTGTTCTTAAAACAGCAAAATAAGTTTCACGGCTTTAGCTGATAATCCATGAATTTAACGAGAGTTTCAGTGGACAATACAACTCAATTAAACCCATCTTCAGCTAGATGTAACAAGTATCTAGTAACATACAGCAGCACTCTATACAACAGTGTATTTTAGGATTAGATTTTGTGGGTAGATGCATATATAACACAGGCTTAAGTGTAAAAATATAGAATAAATACGGGTATACATGTTGGTAGCAGTAAGGGGAAGAAGAATAGGAAAAGAAAGAAAAGGAAGAAGCTAAAAAGGTGATAAGCTGAGACTGCAGTGGTTCGGCCAAATAAGCTGACAGTTCAAATTCCTATATGAAATTGTGGCTTGTCTTGTTCAGGAGTCAAAAAAAAAACAATTTTAATTTAGATATGAAGTTCGAAGGTACCAAACTTCAATGTATAACCCAAATGATCACCTAGGATAATCGAAAGATTTTAGAATCACAGCTCCGCAACCAGAAGTTAAATTTTCTATCTTTACATAAATACAAAAAATGCACATGTAC